TCAATGCCCACGAACCCCAAGAGGGTTTAAATATACATAAGAAGGAGAGGGTTTAGGGTTTATACCCCTTGTACTGGGGTTCGCGATGTTGAGTAGTGGGTCTCAAGTTCAAGATTGCAGGCGTGAATCGCTGATTTGCGGCCCTTTTTGGCCAAGGATCGATACCCTAAACCCTAAACCCTAAACCCTAAACCCTGAAAAGGCCCCTAAACCCCGATGTGTACAGGGCCCTTGGATCAATCCTTCCTCAGCCCCTGCGTCACGTGGATCTCCAGAGACGAAAGCCTCAGTTTCGGCTCTCAGGAGCTCTCAAAGCCCTAAACCCTAAACCCTAAACCCTAAACTATGGGAACTTGGGTTTAGGGTTTAGGGTTTAGGGTTTAGGGACCCTAAACCCTAAACCCTTAACCCTCAACTATGGGAACTACGGTACCCTAAACCCTAAACCCGAAACCCCTTTAATCTCTTTGTTTTGGGTTCAGAGTTCAAGATTCAGGCTGTGGGGTTTGGGGACTGCAAGGAGTGTTTGGGGTTCGGGGATGTTCAGGGTTTAGGGTCTCAGGGGAGTGCGTGTGCACGTGCATGGGCGCACGAGAGGGTGCAGTATAGAGAGGATCTGCAGGCTTTTGCAGCACGAGACATGCCACTTCTAGGCTCAGTCCGGAATTGCCGGAGTCACTCGGAGTCGGAATTCGAATAACAATCCGAGAGCATGCACAGCTCAGTGTACTCGCCGTTCATCTCTTTGTTTTGCCGGGCGAATTCATCGATCTCAACCTGCTTTGCTTTGACCTCCTCCTTCAGATCCACGTTGTCAGTTCCACATGCGTACAGAGGGTTCAGAAGCAGCATTGCGCAGACTACGCACATGTGGATCGGGACGAGCACCACGGCTAGGAACAACAAGCAGGAGTTGAAGATGGCTGACGGCGTGCTCAGCTCGTCGGTTGCTGGCCAGCTACATGCATGGAACCCCGCCTCCACACCGAAAGACCTGGTGGTCGAGTTCGTCTTCGTCTCCGCCCTCAGCCACACTTGGGATGTGAAGCATGCCAAGGCCTCCCCGCAGGCGGCGGCGGGCTCCAGAAACTTCGCCTGGAGCACCGGGAAACCCATGGGCCGCTGGAGCGAGCCAAGGGCCAGAAGACCCTGCGGCAGATCCAGGCAGCAGAGGGCCGCCCAGGCGCAGAGGCGACAGAGGATGAAGAGTGCGGGGAGGAGGCCCGGGCCTTCTTCCGTCTTATACTTGGTGAAGCTCCTCGTCTGGGCTCCTGCCATAGCCACGGCAACCATCATGCAAGAGAAGGCGGTCATCCATAAGTAGTCCTCACCTCCGCTCCACTCTGCTGCCCCGTTCGCCATCGCGCCCAGGGCATATCCTGGCAGGGTGACGAGGGGGTGCAGCGTCGCGCTCACAACGGCGAAGGCCGCCAGCTCCCCCGCGAAGGCAGCGAAGTACCATACGGTAAGCATGGCGGCCTTTACCGGGCGCACGGCTCTCAAGGAGTACGACTGCATGCTCCCTCTTCCAACGGAGGCCTCGCCACAAGGCGTTAAAATTATACATGACTGGGTGTTCTGCAAGTTCACCGAGGCTTGAGAAGGCAAAGGTAGCTTCTCTCTCCCTGTTAAGTCTGGGGACGTTGGTTCTTCCGCGCCCAGATTTGTACCTCTACTCAAGGGTTTACAGCTTAGGGTCTAAGGTTTAAGACTTAGGGGCTTACTCTGGCTTCTTAGAGACTCGCCCCTCCCAGCCTCCTGGTCCAGCCTCCCCTCGGCCATGGCCTTGGCAGAGCTGATCAGCCCATAAAGCGCGCTCGCCGCCTGCAGCGGCGTCAAGGCGAGCAGCGAGGCACCGTAGGGGCCGATGAGACCTGTGCCCGGCGCTTCGATGACGCGCTCACACATGAGCATCTCCTGCCAAGCAAGGGTCGGCACTTGCCGTGCTAAGCACAGCTGGGCCTCGCCAAGCGGGTCGAAGCGTTTCAGCTGGCTGGCCGAGGACATGGTGGTAGAGGTGCGCAGGAAGCTAAGGCCAATAAAGACCACCATGAACGCAGCGAACCAGAAGTCGCCGTGGTACACGAAGGTTCCGATCTGCGCCACATCGTTGATGATGTCCTGGCAGCAAGAAAACCCACGAGAGGGGACGGAACCGGACCCCAAGACGCGACTTTGCTAAACCTCCGGAGTCTGTTAATTTAGGGGCCTTAATAATTTTAATAGGGTTTTGGGGCCCAGCCTAATTCGCCTCAGCCCCTGGCCGAAGCGGTCAGAGGTTCCTATTCGGACTTCCTTTAGACCCCACCTAATCCCCTCCCCAGTGACCCCCACCCTCCAAAACTGTCGGGGGTAGGGGGGGCGGGTCCTTTGTGTGAACCCGAAAACGAGCTCAGGGTCTTGCAGTGAAATCTCGCCACCAACCCCCCCCCCGACCCCCCACCCGCGTGTACCCCGCTTTACAACCAGAATCCCCACTTTACAACCAGAATCCCCACTTCACAACCCACAAGCCCTTCCAGAATCCCCACTTTGCAACCGGTTGCGAATGCTTCTTAACAATTGTATTAACTGAGAACGTCAAAGCCTGGAACCTCCAGCAGCATCCTTTACAGCAACCATGCAGGCTGGAAAGTTTTGCTGGTTGCAATGTGGCCGTTCTTAAGCCGAAGCCAAGACATATACACATACATTAATATGTGTATATATATATATATATGCTACCCCCCGAAAGATCTATGTTTTTAATACGAAACAGCAACCCTTTAAACGAAATATGTTGACCCGAAGCATAACCTGCAACATACTCCAAAACAATTAGCCCGAAATCCCCCCTGATTCCTAATCTAAAACACCTAGTCCGAAATCCTCCCTGAAGCCTAATCTAAAACATCTGGCCCGAAACCCTCCTTGAAACCTAATCTAAAGCACTTAGCCCGAAATCCCCCCTAAAGCCTAATCTAAAACACCTAGCCCGAAACCCCCCCTGAAGCCTAATCTAAAACACCTAGCCCGAAATCCCCCCTGAAGCCTAATCTCAAACACATAGCCGAAACACCCCCTGAAATTTAATCTAAAACAACCAGTCCGAACCCCACCCCCCGCCCCCTGAAAAAAAATCAGGGGGCATCAAAAACAAGGAAATGAAACCTACCAGTTAAGCACGTTGAACACTGCTATACCTTTTGTGCAAGTCATCCTGCCTTGACGGAATACCGGAACATAGGCGTTGCCTGTACACAACTTGGAGACATGGGCAACGGCGACTTTATCTGTAAAGTGAATCACCTTCACCACGTTCATAGTCCCATCCTCTAGATTCTGGATCACAGCACCCATTTTCGCGTTTGTAGGAAGTTTGCCACCGAGGCAAAGGGGAGGAGGCAAATCGTCGAGTTGACCTTGTTGTACGAACTCGCCGATACGGGCAAGGCCACCGAACTCGCATACCTTGAAATGAACATCGAAGAGTGTCGTTGTGCTCTTCACATTATCGCATCTGCGGCAAGCAGCTTGAAGAAATTCCTCGAGTGTGATGGGTTCGACGATATCGGAGATGGGCATGTGGCCGACCTGTGGCAAAGCCGAAGATTCGTAATGCCATTCCTTCCCAGAGACTTTCTCCATGATGTTGTCCATGAGAGTTGCCATGACTGATTGGGCACGTTCTGCCAGGCTAAGAGTTGCCGACAATACTTTTCTTGAGCAGCATCAGTTGTTTTTCTTGTGTTATATAAGTCCAGATTTGCACAGTGTGTAGTTTGCACACAAATACAATTGCTAACTGAAGAACAGCCATCATGAGCAGTGTACAGCAAGACACATGTGTGACACCTTTTTCACACAGCGGAAGACGAGATGCCGGCCAACTAGGGTCTGATGCTTAGTTGTCATCAAAGACCGCTTTGGCTGTAACAATAGCACTCAAGACATTCACGCTTGCGTTGTGTT